ATATACGTATATTATCATTATTTCATATATGTATATTATCCATAAATGGAATAGAGATTAATTAATAATCTAGTCTATTAATAATCACTGTTATCAATAAATAAGGTAGATTCTTGCTTCTTTGAGAAATGATTCTTTGTCGCGACAAGAATTTGTCATTTGTTTATACATTGTCGCGAGTAATAGCGAGCTAATGGCTGCAAACTTGTAATAAGATCTTTAGATATAAAAAGTAGGTGCGTGGAATGCCACGGTTTACAAGTGCAACATCTTAGACACAATGGTGAAGTTTTATCAATTCTTCCCAGACATTTGGAAGATGACGCAAGGGACTTGCGATGCAATGAGTTTGTCATCGCAAGACAATTACATCCTTTTCGAAATATTTTTAGTAACTAAAAATTGGATAAGGAGCAACGCACAAATATCCAAAAGACACATAGTCCTACAATAGGACTAGCTGTCATTAATAATAAAAAAAAAAAAGGATACAGCGTAGATTGTTTAGCTTTTTAAATGGCTGCGTGTGTGAATGTATACACGTGCGTGAGTGCAGACTGCTACGTTTCAAGTTAACCCTTTATTTACTGAATGTCTCAAAAGTTTTAAAAATCTAGATGTCCATTATCGTCTTAATATCATCTCATAGATTTCTTTCTAACAAGCTTCCGGTGACATCCAAAAATTAAAAACGAACTCCATAGAAGTGGACTCGAAAGTCACAATAGCTTTCAAAGCGTTTAATTAATACATGAGAAAATTGACGGGACTCACGAGTCGCGCCAGTAAATAAAAGGTTGAGAGTACCGCGTTGCGATTTGATCAGCAAGGTGCGATCAAGCGTCCCGTTATCTCATGCAATTTATATTCATTTTACATCTATCCTTTTTATAAATATATATACTGTTCCACGTGTGGTCAGTTACTTCCGCACCGCAATGTACCGTATCACTTCAACATTACATCATATAATTCCATCTCGATATTAGTCAAGTTAAAGTTACCTGTGTCCTCCCTGGATCGAACCACCTGTTGGCCTTTAGCCTATGGTCGCTGAATATACGTTCCTCTCCACCCTTTCGCTCCAACGTCCTCTTCTTCTTCACCAGCTCGACTTTGCTTCCCCGTCGAAGAGGTTACGTAGTCACCAGGGGGTCGTCCAGGTGTTCTCGGGACGAAGTACGGTTGGCGAACTTGCTCAGCGACCGTTTCGCTGATCTATGACTTCGAGGGTAGGTGTTGCTGTGGTATATAAACGTTTCGCGGATCAGGCGCAGAGGCATTCCGGCCGTTTTGCCCCCAGATCCGCGAAAAGGGGGAGGTGGTGCTGCCTATGGTGGACGAGCAGCTACTTCATGCCACATCCCCGCGGTGCATTGGTGTACGAGAGATACCTAGGGGTAGGGATAGCACCTGCTGCAAGGCGGAAGATACGCGCGACCGGAAACACCGCGGCTGGATTTAGACGGAGGTGGGAGTGGGGGTCGATACGTTCAAGGTGACCAGGATTCCAGGTCCTAGATCCTCTAACGGGGGCTGCAGGGTTTAGCTGGCTGGTCTTACGATGTCCTTGTGTCTTTTCTCTCTTACAGTCGATTGTTTATGGTATCGAGGGGTAGGTTAGCATGATAGGTTTGCTAGTATTTCATTCGAGGGTATTTATGATTGAAAATTATTTTATTTTCGAAACTAGGAGGGTGCCAACGGGAAAATGTAACGTTTGTGACATACAATGAAGCATGGATAGAGACGGGGACAAATGGATAGATATGAGATACTGGAATACGGTGGTGCTAACGGAGAAAAGCTTTTCACTGAGGTTCATTTTCAATCTCTTGATTCTTACGACGAGCGTGAAATCTGTTAATTTTTTCATGTCATTTCTGTTGGTTGATGAAATATGTTGGAAAAAGTTTGCTTTGAAATGTCTAGAAACGATTAATCGTTAGTCATTTTTAAATGTATTTCTGTTACGAGATTTGCAAATCGTTTATTATCGTAGCTAGAATCTTAGCCCTTTATAGGTCACTGGCACTCGTTACCATTAAGGAAGAGGCGGGAATTTTTAAGTTTCTACGCTCGTACTTCTTTTTTATACAAAACGTGAGAAAAAGATGCTCTGGAGTTCTCCCTATAAAGGGTTAAGAGTAAAGACAGCCCAATATAAATATTTTTTGGTTTCTGAACTCTTCCTACATACAGATATATTCCAACGTCCATCAGGTTGAGACTTAGGCTGAGAGCTCAAAGAATTGGTACATTTCCCTGAGCACGTATAACAATATACTATAATAAAAAAAACATAGTGTGCCTTATAAAACTAGAATACGAAAAATTGAATTTAATGAAAATCGAATTCTGCAATCGATGAATGAACGACAACAAATAGTAGAGTCGATATCTCTTCGAGGAAAATGTAAACAAACGAATGGAGAAACCCTTCTCGCCAAACTTTCCATTCGTTCATTAGATTACGCCAAAATTCGACACGCTTGCGTAACTCAAAGCCTGTTACAGTGGACGACACACGTCTGTAAACAGCGGAGTTTCCCAGATTAAGCTCCTTAATTAAGGGGAATAGTTATTTAAAACAATTCGTCTCTCTCAGGGCTATCGGCGTTCGTTAGACGAACGTGGAATGCCACTTTGAATTTTCCAACTACCGTTCTTCCGCTGATAATTCAATTCTCCGAGTTTCAAATCAATTTATTCCGACATGCTTCCCCGCTAATGTTAGTCCGTCTTAATTCGAGATTTGTTGTGTTTAGTTGTAAACAGGATTAGAGGCGCTTGGGATCACGGTTCATCCTTGGAATGGCAAATGCGAACTGTTTATTTATTTTTTGAAGGAAACTGCGCGTCTCGTTATCTCGCTATCGGTCGTTTCGTTAATCGTGGATTGTTTCAGGTGAATTTTATTTGGCTGATTTTGGTTGGATTTAAATTGGGCCACTTTGCACATTATGAAAGTGGTGTTGGAAATATTTATTTTATTTTAATTTAAAAGGAGGGTTTGTTGAGTGGTAGATTCACTTGGATTTAAATGGGATCGCTTTTTATATTATAGAAATTAAACTAGAAACGTTAATTTCGTTTAATTTGAAAGAGGATGTGTCGATTGGTAAAGTTTAGTACGTTTCAAAGTCACTTTTTGTATTATTAAATCTTGACGGTTCTCCGCACGCCCAAAGTAAACAAACTTGAAGAAGTAGGACACCAAAGGATCGATGTTCAGGGAATTCGTCAAGAATCATAATTCCGTGGTACATTTCCAAATTTTTTATTTCACAATCATCGCTTTTTTCCCCACTCGACCTCCACCTGTTGTCCACGGCAAGTTCCCATTATCCTCCCCGTAAGAGGCTTTCGGTGAAAGCACGACGCCCTTCGTCTCGATTCATTATGCTCCCGTTTGCTCGTTCATACCTCTGGAATACGTTCCAGACCGGTGTAAGCGTACAAGCTGGTCGACGCTGGATTTTTAATCTCTAGCAGTGGGCTACGAGCGGGATTTATGCTTTTCAGGGACAGGCTTATTTTCTGGTGGAGTCGCATCGTTCTCGGCTTGGTCAGCGTTCGCATTATACCCGTGGTTTCCGTGTACGAGCGCATCTCACTCCGCGAGATCCTTATGTGGCTGATAGACGTGGTCTGGAAGAGGTGGTAGCAGACGTAATTAATTCCTTATATTGGTAATTGTTGACGAGTGGTGTTACGTTTATGACTTTAGAAAGAATTGTCATTCGTCAGTTAAAGTTACCAAATAATTTTGAAATTTTCGGTATTTTTAGAGTTGATTAACTGTGCTTAATTACAGACCTGATCTTGGATATAGCCTTCGTCTGGTGGTCAAGAACTCAATTACAGAGTCTGTAATTTACAGACCTAACTCCTGGACCCAGTCTTTATTTGGCACTTAACGAAGAAAGAAAAATAGATACCCTCTACATTTATTCTCAATATACCATACTATTCCGAGTGTACTGTTCTCTATACTATTTTTATACTATACCATATGACTTGTCTCGTCGAGTTACGCGTCAGTCACACCGACAAAGAAGGACAAAAAATCATCTAACGCCGAGCAGTAGCCACCTGGCGCACCAAGAATGCGTTTATAGTATATTTAGGCAGCATGCGCCGATAAAGTAGCCAAGCATAGCTTTTCGTCCGACCTGATTTACGAATTTTGAGATTTCAAATTGAAAACGTATTTTAATCCAAATGAAACATAGCCTATGTCGCTCGGGGATATTGTAGCTTTCTGTTACTGAGCAAATTTTTAAAGTTGGTTCGGTCAGACAACAGACAAAAATGTTGCAAAAGCCTGTTTGAGTTTCAGCAAAGGTGCGAAAAGTCATGTAAGAGTTAAAAAAAAGTGTTATTTCGAAATCACAGACAGACGCTTCAATTTTATTTGTATAGAAGATTAATACTTTAATCTACTGAGGGGTCTAGTTACAGGCATTTTAATTTCAGTGTTTGCGTACAGGAACCTGTTATAATAACTGTATCGTTGATGGTCTATTTACTTGAGAAAGCAGGTTTTGTTTGTATACCCAGTAACAATATGGAGAAATTAGTGTCAGCCTAGATTAATGCATACTGATCTAGAAAATTCAGTAAAGAATCAGTTCCTGGACTTCTTCTAAGACTAATATATCCATTAACGATATGTAGAAATTAACGTTAACTCAGACTAATATACACTGATCTATTAATTCCTCCTCCGAGTTTCAGACACTTAACGAGCTCCTCAGCATTCCTGTACTTGTTCTAAGACTGTGTCTCAATAGTCCGGTAATTAAAGTATCAACAACCCCATCAATATCTACCTAACCCAGTAACAATATGTAGAAATTAATGTCAGCTTAAATTAATACATACTGATCGAGAAAATTGTCTAAACAAATAGTTAACCGATTAACGTTTCTGCACTTCTAAGACTAATATACCCATTAACGATATGTAGAAATTAACGTTAACTGGGACTAATATACACTGATCTATAAATTCCTCCTCCGAGTTTCAGACATTTAACGGGCCCCTCAGCATCCCTGTACCTCTTCTAAAACTGTGTCTCAATAGCCCAGTAATTAAAGCATTAACAACCCCATCAATATCCACCACGATCTCCGAAAACTTTCAACATGTCTATCAACAATAAATTCCCGATCATCCCGAAACTAACATACACCAAATCCTCCCTCAACTTCCACAGGATCCCCGTCCCCCTTTCCTGCTCACCATATCCATGAACGTATTCTTGTTCCCAAGGCTGAAGTCCTCGTGGTTCCCGAAGAAGTATATCTTCCTGTTAGGGCAGTTCTTCGGCTGCCTGACCTTCTCGATCGTCAGTCCAGCCCTGTCCAGCGGCACGATCTCGGGTCGCGTCGGTTCAAAGTCAATCTCGAGATCCCCGTTCCCCGTCTCGCCGTCCATAACGTACTCCGTCCTTGACATTCTGATCTCCACCTGGCAGTAACCGATGCTCGAGTTCTCCATGGCGACGAACCGTTGACGTCCTTTTTCCAGCTCGAAGCCAACGTTCAGCTGGCCAACGATAGCTCTCATCATGTCCAGCCGCCACCTGGGTATCTGCCTAGGCACGACCAGGTTCTCGATGCCTCTCGCGTTGAATCTGACCTCGAACGGGTCGGCGCCGACGAATCTGTCGCTGACCGGCACGAAGTTCTTCGAATTGGTGCACCTGTTGTCCTCGGGGTCCGGTCTGACGATTCTCCCGTTAACGAAACGACAGGCGAGGGTGTCGCTGCCTTTCGGACGGCACTTGAGCTCCGTGGCGATCATCGAGCAGAAATTGTCCTTCTCGTGGACGATATTCGCCAGGGACATGTTCACCAGGACGTCGTAAGTGCATTCCGGGCCGTATCGCTGCCAATCGGAGAGCTGCGAGGCCTCCTGGTCGACGGCCACGCGTCCCGCTAGAATGACGAGAGGGTTTGCTATAGATACGGCGATCTTGGGGCGCGTCACACGTGCTGGGACGACGAGTAGTTTGAGTAGCGTCTGTATGTAGCTTTGATTCCGTATTATTGCGTTTAGTGGAGACATTGCAGCTTGGAAACGTAGCAAGGACCCTCGTGGGACCTCGATTATCCTGGCCTCGGTTGCAATTAAATTCGAGTGCGCTGTATTGGCAGGTTTAATGGATTTTCAGACCCTTTAGCTCGATTTAAGGGGCCAGGGGGTCGAGCGTGGTCGAGACGCGAGAGATTGGAACGCAGTTTGGT